GAGACAGCCAATCAACGAGTGTGTCCAGAGTGTACCCCTAAGTACCAAAGAGCATCGCCCCCAGTGGCTCAGCGGTAAGTCTGCGAACTTACAATGCTAAAAAGCAGGTTTCGATACCTGTGGTGGGCAGAGCACAGATAACAAATCGTCTAACTTAGCGATTGACAACAAACAAACAAAATGAAGTACATCATTCTTATATGGGATGGTTCACTGTTCAGGTATTGATTAAAGGAAATATCACATAATGTCACCAGCAAACACAACTTCATTACTCTGAAAATGTAAACATAAGTATGAATAAGTAAACATAGAACAATTTCCTAGCAACATGTACAATTTTTGAATCAAATAAAAACATGTAAAATACAGTACCTGCAAATAAAGATAACTAGTAATATTTGGAAATACAGAAGATTGAGTACGTTATATTACAAAGATTTTGGAGCCTCACCACACCGTTAAAATCCATGTCGCCACGACCTATCATGATTTATCTGGCGACCGTACATCCTGATAATAGCCCCGCAGTACTGCAAAAGGTTCTGTCGTAAAACTGCTGCGTTCAAATAACACTCCTACTCCACAATATACAAAAACCTTCGTTTGGAAAAAACTCCCCATCGGACGCCGCCATATTGATTGCCATTCGAAAATTATTGTTCCGTTCAAATAAAAAACAATTAGTGGGGGCTTATAACCCTTAAGTTTTCTCAGTGTAAGAAAAAATGGTTTATTTTTATTACAAAAATCTTGTATAGTCTTAGTCTTAAAAGTAAAATATTAAAAACATATTTAGGTGGTTCATCTGTAAGTTTGCGAGCATATATGGCTACAATTTGCAGTTAAGATGATATCGAACACGCACTAAATATCAAAAATTCTGTATAGACTTAGTCTTAAAAGTAAAATATTAAAAACATATTTAGGTGGTTCATCTGTAAGTTTGCGAGCTTATATGGCTAAAATTTGCAGTTAAGATGATATCGAACACGAACTAAATATCAAAAATTCTGTATAGACTTAGTCTTAAAAGTAAAATATTAAAAAAATATTTAGGTGGTTCATCTGTGAGTTTGAGAGCTTATATGGCTAAAATATGCAGTTAAGATGATATCGAACACGCACTAAATATCCCAGAATATTTTTCTGTAACTGTCATCTGTGTTCGTCACCTTGGCCGCTGCCTACATCATATTATACTATTTATATTATAGCCTTACTAGACTTACCATGAAATATACAACTTGGATTACAAATTATCATGGCTTTAGTGTTTCATTTTCGCCAATGTAACCTTCTGTTCTTGCACAAGTTCGTATTCAATATTTTATAAAATAAAACATAATATTTTTTCTTCGAGATATTTTATAGACAGGAACATTTGTATGTATCTTTACTGTTTTCTTTATAGCCTACAATAGAAATTAAACCAAAGAAATACGCAAGGTTTATTCCATTTGACAAGACATTTATGAAACAGAATAGTTGCATTGACAGAACCTGCGCAGTTTTCCATACACAGGTGAGCAGGGCGTAGCCTAGTGATAAGCATGTCGGACTTTGGATTTCGTAGTCCGTGGTTTGCGTCCTGTTCTCCTAAAAATGAAAAAACTAAAAATTGCGCTCCGCATTTTGGGGCCGTGGATGCGTTATGACAGTGACAGTCAAATCCTAGTATTTAATTAAAGTAACCCGAAAGTTGGCGGTGGGTGCTGTTGACAGGTTCGAACTTTCCATACCAAATGTTTAAAGCAAGCATGTTTACAAAATGCAGTGGTATCAGTAAATCATTTGTATGGCATTTTTCAATCCAAACAGTTTATGAAAGAGAAGACAGATTTCTTTTGAATATATAGCAATTTAACAACTGTACTTATTTATTTATTTTTGCTCAAAATAAAAAAAAACCCATAAGTTTTTGTTCAGAATGTCAAAGGTCACAGGGATTAGATACGTTAGAGCGTCAAATCACTTCCGGTTCAGAATATTAGGAGGATTCACGAGAAATAAATGTGCCAAGTTAATCAATATAATAATTAAATAATTTTGCTCTTATCACGCTTTCCATGGTTACTTTTTCCTTGTTGGGATTTTAAGTTGCATTAGTAAACAATTCACGTTCAGAATATATGTTTAAGTTGTGGGATTTCTCTCTACATATGTACCATATCCAAACAGGACGTTGGTGACCCCGGTCTTCCACAGATCTGTCTATATATATGTACCATATCCAAACAGGACGTTGGTGACCCCGGTCTTCCACAGATCTGTCTATATATATGTACCATATCCAAACAGGACGTTGGTGACCCCGGTCTTCCACAGATCTGTCTTTATATATGTACCATATCCAAACAGGACGTTGGTAACCATGGTCTTCCACAGATCTGTCTATATATATATGTACCATATCCAAACAGGATGTTGGTAACCATGGTCTTCCACAGAGGCACAAAGAATTTTTGATGTCGATACATCCATCCACTTACAAAGACTCTTGACATAAGTCAACATCTGTCTTCCACGGTCTCACTTTCCTTCAAAGGCCTGGCATAGCCAGGTGGTTAGGGCGCTCGACTCGCAACCTGAGAGTCGCGAGTTCCAATCCTCGTCCTACCAAACATGCTCGCTCTTTCAGCCGTGGGTGCGTTACAATGTGACAGTCAATCCCACTATTCGTTGATAAAAGAGCAGCCCACTGCTAAATTAGGGACGGCTAGCATATATAGCCCTCGTGTAGTTTTGAACAAAATTCAAACAAACTTTCCTTCAATCTTTCCAGTTACGATCAGACTTTCAATTTCTTCTTTCCACATAATTTGCCCTAGAAACTCCAACTGTTCTTTTCTAATGTTAGTCAGCAACTTTTTTGTGCAACCCGCTTCTGACAAAATTCAAAGTTCAAATTTGAAATTTTTTTTCATTTAGCCACTGTTTTGCAATACAAGTTAGCAAGAAAATTGGCACTGATATTTTTAAGGTACTAAAAACGTATCACGTGATTTTTTTATGTATTACATGTACGTATGTGCCAAGTCTTCAGTTTTTTTGTGTATTGAAGTTTAATTTTACATTAATGGGGAAAAGGAACAAGAAGAGTGCTTTTTACAAATATGTGATCAGTGTTAATAAAACTAGAAAATAGAAATTTTACGATTTAAATCTCATATGGGCATACAATAACTACAGGTCATAAAAATCTCACAAGACCGATATGATCCATTGGCAATGCGTTGGCTTCATTACTACAAGATTGTTATGTAATTCCTTTGTCAGCACATTTTGTTTACTATTACTTGATTCAAAATTGTTTTCTGTTTTATTTCTGAGCTTTAAGACAGCCGCTATACTTTATTTTCAATTTCTGTTTACGTGGCAATCCAATATTTTGTTCTTCTGGGCTCAGGATCGACCCCAAGGTTTTTCAAGCACTAAGCGAATGCTCTACCAACTGAGCTAAAGGGTTAACTTCTAGGGATTGCTATAGAAAGGCACTTTTTAATGACTTAGACTAAAATATATGTATATATGAACATAGAACACTCAGTAACCATTCATTCTGTCTCTTTAAGTCCAAGTAAAGTGGTTTCATATAAATATAAAAGACTCAGTAACCATTCAGTTTCTCTCTTTAAGTCCAAGTAAAGTGGTTTCGATATAAATTTAAAACACTCAGTAACCATTCCGTCTGTCTCTTTAAGTCCAAGTAAAGTGGTTTTGATATAAATATAAAAGACTCAGTAACCATTCAGTCTGTCTCTTTACGTCCAAGTAAAGTGGTTTCGATATAAATTTAAAACACTCAGTAACCATTCAGTCTGTCTCTTTAAGTCTAACTAAAGTGGTTTCGAAAGGAAGCTATTTGTATACTTACATTTCATGAACTCTCAAAGGTTCATTCTTGCTCTCTTGACAACCATATAACGCAGTTTTTATTCTGGTATACACGAGAATGTTTCCGGTAAGAGAATGACATTACACTTACAGTTGTACTGAGAACAACTACCTATGTAACCTAAGGCACTCGACTCGCAATCTGAGGGTCGCGGGTTCGAATCCACCGTCACACCAAACATGCTTGTCCTTTCAGCCGTGGGGGCGTTATAATGTGACGATCAATCCCACTATTCGTTGGTAAAAGAGTAGCCCAAGAGTTGGCGGTGGGTGGTGATGACTAGCTGCCTTTCCTCTAGTCTTACACTGCTAAATTAGGAACGGCTAACACAGATAGCCCTCGTGTAGCTTTGCGCGAAATTCTTAACAAACAAACTAACTAAAAGGCTCTATCCCATCTTAATATTTTGTTTACCCTTAATAAATATTTTGATTCTTTCATCATTCTGCTATTATTGACTACTCCAGCATTTGTGATACGTTTAAAAAATATATCATACATGGCTCGGATATTAATATTATTCTTTTTTATAAAAAAGTATAAGTTTTCATTTTTTATTCTAAATTGTTTTAATATGTTACTTTATTATATTATACATCGTAATTATGCTAGAGCCTGGTGGAGGTTATTTTCGTACAGTATCACATTTGATAGCTTGACGATGTTGTTGGTGATCATGCGTAACCGGAAGATTGGATAGTTCGATACTGCATATTGTTGTACTGCAAACTAGTTTCGTTATTCATTAGTAATAAACACAAAGTGAAGTTTTCTAAGATAGTTGTGTTGAAACATAGCCTTTCGGTATTAGTAGATTAAGAGAGTTCTGTTTAGTCTATAGGTCTGTCACTATTTATTAAATTTACACTAAACTTTGAAAACAATGGGTAGGCGTTTGCAAACAGCAGCTGCATTGACGTGTATGAAGATCTGTCTGATGGTTTTCAATTTCATATTTTGGGTAAGCATAATCTGTAACCTGAATATGAGACTTTATGATAAGTGGTTCAGCATTAGAATTTAACCCAAACTTAATAAAACATTTACATAGATCTTGGGAAAAAATTACCAAATGTATTAAAATTATTTTGTATTGATAAGTGAACCAGGTTAAGTGATTGACTGATTCATGATTGTGAGACCCATTTGGTAAGTATTTGAAATTGAAACTAAATTGCGTTTAATTCAATATGGACGTGTTTCTAAAGAGAGGAAAAGGATAGCAAGGAATATTAAACTTAACTAAAGGGTAATGACTAGTCTACATGATGATTATGAACCTACTGATCAAAATCCTATACATGCAACAGATTGCCAATATTTATGCCATTACGGTATATAGTATAATGTAGCATTTAAGGACAGTAAGGGACCTGAATATGCATATACCACATCAAATAATTGGTCTTAGCCCAAAAGGTGCTTGTAAAGTTTTTGTCATTGTGAATATATCAATGTAGAAACTGACTGTCCCATATATTATAAGGTCACAATTTAGTATGCTCCTTTGCATCTTTCTCGCAAAGAAGTCTCACATTGATACTGTGTTTAATATCTATCCATGTAAAGTATATATATGTTGTAGCTTATGCCCCATTCTTTCTTAAAATGTAGCATTTTCTGAAGATGTTATTAAATTAGTTGGCTGAAGGGAGACAGATGCATTTGCTTGTGAGTGTTTGCATTTTTGTTTAATTTACTACTTTTACATGGTTTTACTTAAACATACTTTCTATTCCAAACAATTTTCTGAAAGAAATCCAGCCCTTTGTGATATTTATTTAAACATTGTGGCTCTTCTTCAACTTCGTGCATGAAAGTTTGCTTTAAAAGTTTGTCTTCTAGTGCCTATATCACATGGAACATCATACAAGATTGTGTCGATGAATGCAATTCCAACCATATGATTGGCTGCTCATGTGATTACTGAACAATCAGAAGGGAAATTTTGTAAAATACTCTTTCCTAAATGTAAACAACAATTGGCAGTTGATTTCATGACTTATCAGAGCTCTGTATTATTGATCCATTTTGTAGATTTTGTGAAAGATTTTGGCTGTAGGGGCTTGTGCATAATGCAAGTTGGTATCGTTAGGTAGTATTCTACTTGTGAAACAAAAGCATTTTAAACCTTGGACATACTGGATTTATGTAGCTGAGACGACTCTAATATGATTATAATTGTTTATCATAATTCCAGGCATTTGTTGATACTAGACATAGTACTCATTAATTAGAGCTAAATTGGCAAATGCTCATTTGAATTTATACTTAGAAGAATATATCTTGAAACTGTAGTGATATTTTTAAGTACTATGCTAAAGCAACAGCAGGAAAATGTGATGATTTTTGTTATAAACTTGGAAGTTTTTCATAGTTTCATTTAACAAATATTCACATAGTTAACAGGCAAAGCAAGGAAGACCATAAGTGATATTTGTTGTAGAATAAAGGGAATGGAAGCTAAGATGGTTACAATAAGATTTCAAAGTTTATTATTACATACATTAAATATTTTAACTATTATTATAGTATTATTTGTACTTTGTGAATTATACCAGAGCCCATACTTTATGTATAAAGTGACTACATGTAGATTTATTGAAAAAAGAAATTTTGTGGAGAAAAAGTATACTTAAACTTTAAATATTGCAAAGACATGTTTGAACATGACTACATTGGATTCACCCTACTGACTTCTCTGTACATGTGAGTAAAGTAATAAAAAAAATGTCTAGAGATCTCCAACATAAAATTGTACACTTATATCCTTGGTCCATTGACAACATAGATTTCATCATATTTTTTTCTCTTTACAAATGACAAATTACAGAATAGATTAAAGTAAAACTGCATTCTTGATGTAAATATTGAGACAGGTTAAAACTTTTTTATTTCTTAATTCTAGCTGACTGGTATTGGAATACTAGTTATTGGAATATGGATGAAAGTAGCATTGTACCAATTTCTTCAGCTCTCTGATGAATATAACAATGCTGCACCCAATGTTCTCATTGGGACAGGTGCAGCTATCATTGTTGTTGGATTTTTGGCCTGCTGTTGCACCGTTAAAGGAAAGCCTGTTTTGTTGTACCTGGTAAGTATTGTGAGCTATAAATGTAGTAAGTTATAGAGTACACAGGTATTACTACACTGTATTTTAGAAATCAATCACATATCTAACTGTAGTTGAAGACATGGCAACTTGTACAGTTCAAATTTTGAAGCATCTCCCTAACTCATAGAATTACACACAATGATTAAACATATCTATGCTTTAGTCAATGATTAGAATATATTCTTAACTTTTTTTGTAAATATCTTCTTAGACTTGCAGAATTTATGCTATATCTAAAGTACGTGTAGTAGAGTATTTTTTTTTCATACTTTATAAATGAAATCAGCAATCGATGTGTGATGTGTTTGAAGGAAAACAAAGTTTGATAATAAACAAGATTACAACACTTATGTTTATTGACAAAAAGGGGACATAGATAAACGTTTCAGAATTCTATCAGATTCCATCTTCAGTGTCTAAAGCAAAATAAAATAAATTTACATAAGTCTTTGAACATTGTTAAAGTACAATTGCTAAATATAACAACAATTAAACAAATAAAACACAAAACAATAATCATGGGGAGAAATCATGCAACTTACAACCTGTGCTCCACATATCTTAATCTGCATTCTGAAATTTCATTCTTACATGATATCCTGAAATGTAACTGCTATCCACAACACTTATTAGAAAACATTACCAACACCTTCCTAACAAATAAACTCATAAATCCAATTAAGATATCACCAGTACCCAAACTTACTATATACTCATGTCTTCCCTATACTGGCAAACAAGCTTAAATTTAAACAATAAACATAAACGCATACTTGGTTGTTACCACCCTCAAGTGGATTTCAGATTAGTTTTTAAATCCACATCACGCATAAAAATTTTTTTCCCTACTAAAGATTTCCTCTCCATTCCTTGTTGTTCCTGGCTTGGCTGTCTTTACACGTGTGGAGACTGTAAGGCCTCCTATATTGGCAAAACCAAATGCCATTTAAAAGTCGGAGCCTATGAAAATATGGGAATTTCCATCAAAACGCAAAAAAAAATTGAGTAACCCCTGTGTTTCCTCTATACACCAATATAGTGAAGAAACAGGAAATCAACCTATACTATCAAATTTCTCTATCCTCTGCAAATCTAATACTGATCTGGAATTATTGATTAAAGAAACCCTCCACATCAAATAGCACTCTCCAACATTGAACAACATGCAGTCTTCATTTAAATTATACATTTTTTAATATGTTCATATTACTGATTTTACCTTTTTTTTTTTTTGTTGTTGTTTTCTTGTTGTTAGTTTCCTCCCCATGTATTACTTGTTTTGTTGTTTTA